AGATGCTGTACATGTACATGCTCCATATTATTAATAACTGTTAGCAAGAGTACATAACCCGGGGGTTAACTCGGATCCAGACTACACAAGATCTTCAACCGGAGTACAGTTAAAGTTAGCTATAGTTGTATGCCGAATACGTCTGCAATGGTCAAGTCACACAACAACTCAGTTAAACGGAAGAGTGGAAACAACGATGGACAGCCCAAGGAAAGACGATGCAACTGCAGAGACAAAGCGCAGTGTCCGATGGACGGCAACTGCCAAATCAGCTCTATTGTGTACAAGGCAACCGTCCAAATAACCGGAGAGGACAGACAGAAGGAGTATATCGGTCTTACGGAGCCAGAATTCAAGAAGAGATACGGCAACCATCTAACATCATTCAGACATGAGAGACATGAGAAGAGCACAGAACTATCAAAGTGTGTCTGGAACCTGAAGCGGCAAAACAGCGAGTACAGTCTTGGTTGGTCAGTTATCGCCCAGACTCCAGGTTACAGTAACATAACCAAGCGCTGTCCTCTGTGCCTAAGAGAGAAGCTGGAGATCCTTCAGGCGGACAAGCGTGTCAACATCAACAAAAAATCGGAGCTAGTTAGCAAGTGCAGGCATGAAAATAAGTACTACCTCTCAAAATTCTCACCATCAGCCGTCACATAACCTTCTCACTACTCGCAGTCGCAGGTGAGGTGCTGCTCATAATTACCTCATTGTTCCTCTTCTTGCCTCCCTCAGAAGAACATGTGGTTGCATGAGCCTAGGCCTAAAGTGTATTCTTTTTTTGCGCCTATTTTTGCACCCCATCAACCAACTCACGCAATCATTTTTATAATTACACTATCAGCCCGGATCATCCATTCGCGCTATGATCCAAGCTTGCAGCCTATAACAATCTTATCTTCTGAAAATTGTAGTCAAGTTGCTGTCTGATGATCGGTTAAAACCGTGAAAGTTACAGAAGAAACGCTTTTCGTCCCTCTCAATGTACATAACCCGGGGGTTATGTACATTCAACTTCGCTTATAACGACACTCGGCGGGGCATCAGAAAAGTGTCCTTATTCGCGAAGTGTCGTTATACCCGAAGTCTCATTATATGTGTTACAGTTGGATGGGACTTTGCTCTGGGCATGAAAATTATGTCGTTATTCACGAATTGTCGTTATATCCGCAGTCGTTATTAGCGAAGTTGACTGTACTCTTGCTGTTACTGTGTTAGTGTTGGACACAAAGTACGGATAACATGAAACATATTGGTCCTTTCCAAGTTTTTAAATTTAATCCTTGGCTCTCCATCCGAGCCCTGGATGGAGAGCACAGTACGTATAGTAGTGCACTGCTCGCGATCCTGTGTGGTGTACACAAGCCAAGCCAATGATGATGGGTGAATTCCCCGAAACGATGACTGGTTTCTTGCTGGTTTGCTGAGTGGAAGGTTCGACGTACGCCTCCTGATGGCAGCGCTTGAACTCCACACTGGGAGCAACCTACATCAAACATTACATTACCCTCCAATGCCCCTAGATGTTCCAAGTTTACATTGATGTCCTCGAGCGGGTATGCGACTGGAGATTTTGTAGGTGGCAGTGTTGTGAATGCCTACAATTGTAATGCTGACCCTCTCAGCGTCTGTTTCCTACCACTCCATGAGTCACTCTGATTGGCGCTTCTACCTGGGTAGTCACGCGAGGTGTTTGTAGCGCTGGAATCGGAGCATCGCAGTAATTCTGTATCCCTAGTGATTGGTAACTGGGGTGCTGAAGCGCTATAAAAGTGCAGTATGGCAGAGTGTGGTATTCTTTATGTTACTTCAGCACTCCTAATGCATATCGCGTGAATTCAACCAAAACCTTTGTAGCGTTATTGAGAAGTGAGCGGTGCTGCGTTCTTGCAGGGTTACGGACTGGAAGGCTTTTCCAGGTGGCAGTCGTGAGTCTGTCAGGTGTAGAAAAGATCATTTTCGGCAGGAAACATGAGCTTAACATGTACCGGTACTTGCGGCATTATCAGGAACTCGCGATATGGCAGCGATGACACCGTGCCAAGATGAAAGACTTACGTGAGTGTTACGAATACGAGCAGCCAGCCAACATTCAATAAGGTAAAAGAGTAGTCGTCATGATGACCTTGTAACTCCCCATTCAGTGTTCATGATACCACTAAAGTACTCCCCTACCCCGCCACCCAGACCAGGCGGAAGAAATGTTCAAGGTTTCTGGCGGATCGAACTATATGGTGTGGTACTCGTTGGCCTTCCCAGACGCGTTTAAAAACGTTAAGAAATGAAGAAATTCATTCTGGGCACATTATAAACTGCTCTGCAATATCGGCACGTATTTCCAATCTGGTCAAGATTCGACCGACTCTGTCCTCCCCCCCCCTTCTCTCTCTCTCTCTCTCTCTCTCTCTCTCTCTCTCTCTCTCTATCTATCTATCTCTCTCTCTCTCTCTCTCTCTCTCTCTCTCTCTCTCTCTCTCTCTCAAGCATCGGAGTTGTTATGAACAAGACAGGTGGCCAGTAGTCAAGAAACGCTGGATGAGGTACACTGAGTCTGATGTTGTTTGTTTGTATTTATTTTGATTCGCAAATTCAAACGGGCATAGAACCCAATAACATGAAAGCGAATAGGAAAATTATAATGAGAATGAGAATTTAAATGCTTAGATCTTCAGCATAGAGTCAGCGGTACATCAAAGAAAACAGAAAAAAACAGAAGATTTCGCTTGTCTTCAGCATCTACAGGGCACAGGTATAGGGGATTACCTGCGTGCGAAACTGCCGAGCGTGATGGATGGCACGGATGTCGCTGGGGAGGGCATTCCATAATACAGCACCCTTGCAAGCAAAGCGCCCCCGCCCCGCAACTGAAAGGGAAACGGGCACGCACAGGCCCATGGCAGATTGGAGCCGAGTAGGGCGGGTGCAGCGGGGGTTAGCAGGGCTTGCAACTCTGGACTTGCCAGTGCATAACGACAGCGCCACACCAGGTATGCTAGCTTCTGATTGAAGACTTCTGCCACACGGAACACTGCCATGCGCTCCAGCAGGTCGCGGGCAGACGACCACGGAGGGCGGCCAAAGACAGCACGAGCCCCACTGTTCTGCAGGACCTGTAGACGGTCGAGGTACATGTACCTTCTTTGCAGTGAGCTAGAGTACGCGTTTGAAGCATACAGCAGGTCAGACATGATCAGCGATCTAAAGTAGGTCATGCGTGACTGGTGATTCAGGCAGCGGCGCATTCGCCAGAGTGCTCCGATCTTCTGCGACACGCGTGCAGAACATTTGGCATTGTGGGCGTGCCAGGACATGCCGGAATCGATTGTGGCGCCAAGATAACGAGTACTTAGCAAACTAGGCAGTGAAGTGGCATGGCACACGACCTGTAGATCAGCTGTGTGCTGACGGCCGGCAGGAATTGGCACTACTTGGCTCTTCCCAGCATTGAGGATCAGGCCTCGATCCTTCAGCCAGTCTGCAAGGATTGTAACCGAAGCAGATAATACATGTATATGTAGTAGGTAGTATACGTACGGATGACCATCGGGGGCCCGGAAACCTACATTGTATATTGCCGGAAAAGGAGAAAACAAAAGACGGCAAGAGTCCATAACTGAAGATGCTCGCACCCTACGCAATAATGGCGCATCGGGCGCGTGATCCCATTCTCCTGGTCAGCACTTTGCACACTCAATACACAGCCTACGAGGCTAAATCTTCATGTATGTACCGGTGCTGTACGTGTGGTCATATCCCAATCCGGCTTCCTTTGTCCTGTGAGCGAAACTGCAACGACGTATTAAAGGTCGTAATACGTCATATTCACGTAAGTCACGTGACTCGATTTGCTTCAGCCAAGCCATGGAGTACAATCATGTACTACTATGTAGTACAACACCGCGTACCGGTACACTCTCCCTGATCTGCTGAGCTAAACCAGAGAAGCCAAGGCTGGGGCGCAAGGTCCCCACACCACCACCGCGAGCCCTTATCTTGGAGAGTCGTCCTTTGGCTTCCCGGGGTATCTGAACAACACTGCCATCGATAATGCGAAAATCGAACGTGACACGGCACATTCTAATTCCGGTTGCTTATTCCGGTTGCAGAAGTCGAGAGCCCTTGCCAACACTTCAGTCAGTATTATAGCAATAAAAACTGCTTTATGGCAGTTTTCTAAAAAAAGTTATTGTGTTCTAGTCCATGGACCCCGTCTAAAAAGTAAGAAATTAACGAAATGTGATAGCTGAAAATTAAAATTTCACACAAAACCTCACAATAATCACAACACTTGAAATGCTGCTTTCAACTTTAACTTGTACTGCACCAACAATTGGCAACATGCATGCATAGGAAAGAAGATCACGAGGGGAAAAGGTCTTCTACATGTAGCTTTTAATTCTGTGTGTGATTATTGTGAGGTTTTGTGTGAAATTTTAATTTTCAGCTATCACATTTCGTTAATTTCTTACTTTTTAGACGGGGTCCATGGACTAGAACACAATAACTTTTTTTAGAAAACTGCCATAAAGCAGTTTTTATTGCTATAATTTCTTTTGTTTTTTCTGTCACCAATCAATGGAATGCCCTATATCAATATGTAAATGATGGCTTTCACATCATATCAAGAGGTTTATGTACTCTTGATCACATCAATACCGTATTATACCAAGAGTACATAATGGGGGTTATGTACACTTGATTATACGCATTGATGTGCAAGCCTTTTCTTGCAGAAAATGGCACTAGCATAATGCATGTTCTTCTGCGGGGAAACATGTGAGTAGTCAGGTGGTGATACTTTTTTTATACGGAGGTCATTCTGTGCATGTTGCTGTTGCAGAATTTCATGACTCTGCCATAAATTTGTCTTGCCTTTCAGATATTTAAGATTTCCCCACCCTCGAGCCATGCGCCAGGTGCGTGTCGCAGATGTTTTTGTTGATTCTGTGTTTATAGTGGTTTATAATCATGGGTTATCGTGATAAGGTCATCCAGCATCATATTGCACTGAAATCGTAATCCTGTTGATGTCGATACAACTCTTGGAAGTAGTTCAATGACTTCAAACTGTTAGTCCACGATTTTCTAAAACACAGCAAAGGAGGAACAATAAACATGTATTAAAATGTAAACAAATACATTGCTGAGTCCGACACCTCGTTCTAACAACTACACTGATCCTGAGGATAAAAGGGTCAGGGCTATGGTTGGAGGTACTGATACTGAGAGATAAACAAGGCACTCCATGATAATAAAATCTTACACATCTTTTGGTGAGTATGAATGATATCCAGTCGAACCTCTTTAGGACGAACACCAAGGGACCGATGGTATTTATTCTGTGAGTTTGTCTTAACCTATTTTATAACCAGTGAATACAATTATTTCTCCAATAGACATACGAATAGATTTCTTCTACAGCGAAAGATTCTAAGCCACACCGACTCATTGACTCGTCTCGTATGAAACAAAAGAGTCACTAGAGAGGTTCTGCAAAACGAAAATGCGTACAAACTTTCGCTCTACATCATGAAGTGCGAACCTTCGCAACTTTGGACGCGAAACTTGCAGGGAACGCGAAATGAACTCTTGTAGGAAATTTCGTGAGATCGGGTCATGGCGTACGTGCACTTGGCCCGCGCAAACTACGAAAATGTGCAGAACGCAAAGTTCGTGCAAAAATTCGTACACACTTTTGCAAGGACTGTCGCGAAACTTCGTTCGAATTTTCGTTTTGCAGAACCTCTCCAGTGAACCTTTCTTTAGCAACATGACGGCAACTGAAACAGCAACAGAGAAAGTACGATACATGTACTGCACATTCTTGCAGGTACTACAGGTACTACCAAGAGTACGGGGGGTTATGTACTCTTGGTACTACAAACAGATTGCAGATCGTAATTCTTGCTTTGGCGGCACAAAACTTTATTTGGGGCAGTGCAATCTCGGCAGTACTCACTCAAACAGCCCAGACTCGAGTAAACAAATGCAATCATACAAGTACGAGATTTTCACGAGACGACACTGCACCCATTGGCTTGTTTCGTATGAAGCAAACATGTTACTGAACCTCTCCACAATGGAGATTTTCCCTGATATGCGAATTTATTTGGCAAACTCGGTCAATGAGTCCTTGAACCTTTCCCTCCAGATTGGGAACTGCCAACGATAGTATGCCACTGACCAGTGCCTTACTTGTAACGTACTAATGTGCAATGAATATGAGTATTTTGACAACACATCTAACATAAGCCTTACCGTCGAGAAGGGGAACTCGCGTTCTTCGCACACTGTAGGCAAGGGCAAAGAGATAAAAATGGATCTAAATCCGAATAAAATCAGCACACGTTTCCGTAAATGAAAGGGTGAGCATAAGCAAATGAATCGAAGGAAACTGGTAAACTCAGAGATCACCTGTCATTGAGTATTCCGTAAAAGGAGGCCTCGGCAGCGGAAAAGCTAAATTTAGAAAGGAGATCCTGTCAGCTTTTCCATTATTTATTGCATTCCGCCCAAAATCAGCACACTTTTCGTAAATGAAAGAGTCAACACAAGCAAATGAATCAAAGGGAACTGGTCAACTCACCTGTCATTGAGTAATATTCCGCGAAAGGAGGTCTCAGCAAGGTCTCAGCAGCACCGAAACGAAATAAGCCAGGCCAGGAGACGAAATATCCGAAACAGCTCATGCAAGAAGCAGTTCCAAAGAAGGAAGTTCCTCGTGCATGCACATCCGAAAAGGCAACAACAAAAAGTCTGCAATGCACACGCATGCGGCCATCCGGCCGCGCGATGGTAGGAGCCATGGAGTAGCTCCCTGGTCCAGGACCAGGTACCGAGCATCTTACGTAGAAACTTACGTAGCTACGTAGACAACGTGTCTGAATAGCGGTGTCGTTAGGTAGCGCCATGTGAACACAATAATAGAAAAGCTGACAGGATCGCTTTTCTAAATAGAGTCGAACCTTGTCCCCTTTAGTGTCCTTACTACCTTTGTGTATCAAGGTCAGTGTGTGTGTGTGTGTGTGTGTGTGTGTGTGTGTGTGTGTGTGTGTGTGTGTGTGTGTGTGTGTGTGTGTGCCTGGTGTGCGTGTGTGTGTACAGTGTACGTCTTCAAATCAAGATCTGGTCTAATTGGTGGACTCTAACGTATAACTTGTGCCCCACTGTTTTCCCGCTTTCGATTACTGAGCAACACCGGATTACCTAGCAACACCGGATTACCTAGCAACACCGGATTACCTAGCAACACCGGATTACCTAGCAACACCGGATTACCTAGCAACACCGGATGCAATTATTTTGCAGTACACGTATGACAATGACTGTGATATGAAGTGAAGGACCATACACACACACACACACACACACACACACACACACACACACACACACACACACACACACACACACACACACACACACACACACACACACACACACACACACACACACACACACACACACACACACACACACACACACGCAATAGGCACAAAGGACGTTTACAGAATCCGTCGCCACTCCCAGCTTCTTGCACAATGCAACCATCATGCAGGCAAGCGTGTGGATACTATTCATTTTGAAGTAGTAGTGCTCCACATTATTGTGTTGAGCCCTCTCCGCTGGCTAAAGGAAAATTGCCTCCTTATACAATCATCATGTAGTTGACTGCAGCACAAGTAGTTTCACACCTGATGAAAGTGATGAGCCGTCACGAAGCACACGGCGAACCTTGCGTTGCGTGAAGCTACTTGATCCGTTTACTTTGAGACCCCAGGTTTTGAGTGCCATGCGCTTTATAGAATATCCTAGCACGTACAGAGTAGACAAGTAAGTAAATCAAAGCACGCCTGGGCCCGGCTCTCATGGGATACTATTAATAATAATATTATTAATTTTGTGTCTTTCCCTCAAACTAAGTAGTGATTGCGACTTCGGCGATGATTTGTAAGAAAGGGTTTGCTCCCCACACTTCCTCAGCCTACTCAAGCTCAACTGATGAGGGGTGAATTCCCCGAAACACTGTGTATTGAGCAGGGAGTGGTGCTTTCTTGCAGGTTTGCCGAGTCGAAGGTTCGATGGACTTCTCGTGTGCTCTGGATGGCAGTCGTGAGTCAGTCAAGTGTCAAGTAAAGTCGGCGGAATAGCGCGAGCTCCGGTGTGGGGAGCAAACCCTTTCTTCCCTCAAACTAGTCAAGATATTATATTACTATAATGCATTCCCGCGGCAGCGTCAACAGTGCAAGTGCAAGTCACCCATGCACAAACACAGTCCACACGTTCGCTTATGCTGGACATGGTAAGAGAAGCCGTTGATATACATGTAGGAGACATAAAGACAACAAGCACAAACGTAGCTGTAAATCCTTTGTGTATGATTGGTTGAGGAAGGATACTCTTCCTCTCTTTCTTCGGAAAGGTTGGTATTGATTGGACATGATTGGATATACATGTAATAATTAGAACCCGCTGAGCGAGTATGAAAGTGAAGTACATTGTGTGCTTTGATCGCCTCATTTAGGCCCTCCTACAAAGGCTACATGTAGGTGCAATGAGATTGGTCATTTCCGTAGTGACATGTCAGAAAATGTTGTTATGCTTTGCGCAATGTAGCCAAGAGAGTTTACAGGACAGGAAGTTTACGTCATCAGCATAGCTTGTCCCTAGTGGGACCATGTTATTCCACTCTTGCTCTTGTCTTGAGAGGGAAGCGATCCCCACCCTTCCTGCAGTGCAGCCTCCAAAATTAATAACATACGAACCGTAGTCGAGTAGAGCCCGCTTCCCTAGAGGTCCATATTGGCTGGGAAGGTACCGGGCACCTTTTGTCGATCTGGACATCTGAGATACAGTAATGAACGACACATAACTTCATAAGGACTAAAGGTGATGTGCTTTGCATTCCATTCAAACATGACTGATTGTGGCGCACGTGGCACACGACCTTTCTCTTCATCTTCTTCATCTGCTTTCGCGGCGGACGGAAGCGTCTGCATGCCTGGTCCGAGTGTCCCCTCGCATCCCCGGACCGGCCGCGTGCCGGAGTCCGCATTCTCCGCGCACCCCGCGGTGCGGTGTCGAGGTCACACGTACATGCAGGTCTACATGCACATCCTGAAGAGGTGGCCTGCGTCGCGTGAGTGTATTCGTGCCGATCCGCTGCATTATTTAGAAAAGCGATCCTGTCAGCTTTTCTATTATTGTATTTGAATATTGTATTCTGCGAGAAGTCACTTACTAGTATAGTATGCGCAAGCCGCACGCATTCTGCATAGCAACGCCCCGCTGCCATTATAAAGGCTTTGTCACATTTGGGGTGCCGTTTATTCAGGAGGTCGCCTGGTTGGGTAGGATGTCAGTGACAGTTTCAGAGAGGTATGACAGTGTATTCCAAACGTGTCGCCCACCGTCTATTTAGTATAATGTATGCTTAGATCTGCTTGTCAGTACTAGTACATTAGCTCAAGGACACACACCACACACACACACACACACACACACACACACACACACACACACACACACACACACACACACACACACACACACCACACACACCACACACACACACACACATACACACACACACACACACACACACACACACACACGATCACATAGTACGCATATGTATACACATAGTGACATACTCTATGTAGCGACCTGACTCCTAACTGTTACGTCACTTCATACAGAAGCATACACACGCACATACACACCTACGCGAGTGAACACAAACACCTCATGGGAGTAATGTATTATAATTTATATTGGCTGTTTTCTAGATTTGACGTGGCTTCTGTACATGCATACACGTAAATTATGATGATTATGCTGATTGTATGTAGCCGCATGTATCGCCATCACGAATGACTTTGGCGTGGCCGCGTGGATAGTTGATACAGTGTCAGAATACGATGACCGTGCACCCCGACCTGCAAGGGCAGTGGACACACATGCCAAAAGACATGTGTCAACTTCGCGTCAAAGATGATCATGTCTTTCATAGAACTCTGACGCTATTGCAGTATTGGCCACACATTTTACTGTGTGCGTTGCTGTCAAGTTCCATGAACTCCAAGTAATAGGTTCCATGGTTATGATAGTAAGCAGCAAGACCCCGAGGCTGACTCTGTGTGCGTGTACCCGTGGGTACATGACATCGAATTGCATAATGACTATGATGTAGCACCGAAGTCGAAGAGTGAGCACTACGTAAGGTAATTACTAAATTAGTTGATTGGCGCCACACTGAGGAATCTAACACGCGTATGGCGTTCTGGCGGTCGCTCTTGAAACGCCATAAAAGCAGGCTTTGTCAGCACCCATTCCAGCAGTTTGTCTTTGCGAGGGTTTGCTCCGGTAGATCATTCTGAGACGCATTGTGGTGAAGTGAGTTCGTGAAGAAACACCTGTAAGGCAGGCAGATAGAGCGAAAGCTCCTTTTGAGCACACTGGAACCCTGAATTCCGAGCTACATATCTACCGGTACGAGCTATCTTGCTAGTCGGAGCAGATTTAGGAGCTCCTCCGCTTGATCCAGGTACCATCCACCCAGTGTTTGTCAGTGAGGTTGTTACTCCTCCCTGTGCATAATACTACTACTACTACTCATGTGCTGCTCACTGGTATAAAGACAAAGCAAATTTCCTACGCATTACCAACACTCAGGTCTAGGGTTTCCCCTAGCGTTGGTCTCGGACTCTCAATCAGTGCTGGTCAGGTGCTAGTCAATCCTGTGAGTTAGTGCTAACCCACCGTGCACGCCCAAGCAGTACGCAATGGCCACCCAAGACTCAGACAAGTCCGATGCCGCCAGCGCGGGAACACAACCCGCTCCAGCGGCGACATCGCCCAGTCCCGCGGACGATAAGAAAGCACTCCAGGAGGTGGGCGTCTCGTCAAGCCTGCCAGGAGTGAACACCATCGTGGAGGTATTTGCGGGTGATCACAAGGACATTATGCTACTGGCCTACTTCACCACGATCATCAAATTATTCGGTGGGTCCAGTAAGGGCGATTCTACGGTATGCCTTACTAGTGAGGAAGTAGTCGACTGGCTGGCCTACTGCGTTATTGTGTGCATCTACATCTTCCGCCATTTTGTCCTGTCCCACACGGGAAAGCTGTTGCAGCGGATCGCGCGCACCGCCCTATTCAGCCTGTTCGCGCTCTGCCTGCACGACCAGCCGATCTCCTGCTCGCTGCCCAGGATGAAGGACTTCCTAGTGGTAGTCGGCAACGGCACATCCGCAGCGGAGTACGTGCCTGGTGAGGGACTCGGCACTCTGCACTACACGCAGGGCGCGATCATGCTGACGCTAGCCCTGATTACCACAGAGCTTTTCCGGCGTGACGTGACGGCCACCTCCAACAGCAAGAAGACGACAACTGCGCCGGCGAAGGAGGAGAAGGAAATGCAGTCGATGACGCCAGACGTGTAGACACATGCCGACTGGTGAACTTACTTGAAGACAGTGGGCAAGTGCGCCTGGACTTGATCATTATAATATAATTGTTGTTATACTTGACCGAAAAACCCAGCTGTAGACTAGAGATCATTGTATCCTCTACTGACGTTACGTTATGTGGTGGACATTGCCTCCTTTAATAGCATTATG